TCAATTCCCCGTTCCAGTATTTACTCTTAGGTTTTTATTATTTAAAAAAAAAAAAAATACAGAACAAAGTTTAAGGGATCAGTGGGACACCATTCAGCAAAACAGTACACACATTATGGGTACTCCAAGAGGAGGAGAGAGAAAGGGACAGAAAGAAGTTTTGAAGAAATAATGGCCAACAATTTCTAAAACCTGTTGACACAAATTTACACATCCAAGTTGTTCAATAAACCTCAGTAGTTCAATGAACCCCAAATAGGTTAAATCCACAAAAAGCCACACCAAGGCATACTATAATCAGACTTGTGAGAACCAAGAATAAAGAGAAATCTTGACAGTGCTACAAGAAAAGTGAAATATCTTATACAAGAGGTCTTGAATAAGATAAAGGGCTGATTTCTTCTCAGGAATGACATGCTACACCAGGGTTCAAGGCTGCCAAAAAAAGACATATTCATGTTTAACAAGTGTATTGGATTATGCTTTCCTCACATAGGGAAGAAACAGAATGAGATCAGCATCACTAGTGGGCACTGGACTACATGACTATATGAAGAAGAACACAGCATCAGGGCTGGAGGAAGATTCATTAACAACCTGCAGTACGCAGATGCTACAACCTTGCTTGCCAAAAGTGAAGAAGACTTAAAGCATTTACTGAAGAAAATCAAAGACTGCAGTCTTCAGTGTGGATTACACCTTTACATGAAAAAAGCAATATCCTCACAACTGGACCAATAAGCAACATCATAATAAATGGAGAAAAGACTAAAGTTGTCAAGGATTTCATTTTACTTGGATCTACGATCAACATCCATGGAAACAGCAGTAAAAAAATCAAACAATCATTGCATTAGGCAAATCTGCTCCAAAAGACCTCTTTAAAGTATTAAAAAAAAAAAAAAAGCAAAGATGTCACTTTGAGGACTAAGGTGTGCCTTACCCAAACCATGGTATTTTCAATCACCTATATGCATGCAAAGGCTGGACAATGAATAAGGAAGACCAAAGAAAAATTGATGCCTTTGAATTATGGTGTTGGCAAAGAATATTAAATATACATGAACTGCCAAAAGAATGAACAAATTTGTCTTGGAAGAAGTACAGCCAGAACGCTCCTTGGAAGCAAGAATGGCAAGACTTCATCTCACATGCGTTGGATGTGTTATCAGGAGGAACCAGTCCCTCGAGAAGGACATCAGGCTTGGTAAAGTAGAGGGTCAACAAAAAAGAAGACCATCAATGAGATGGACTGACACAGTAGCTGTAATAATGGGCTTAAACATAGCAATGATGTGAGGATGGTGTGTGTCCAGGGAGTGTTTCATTCTGTTGTCCATGGGGTCAAAATGAGTCATAACTGAAATTGATGGTGCCTAACAACAGCGGTGGGCACTGGTCTCCCATGGCCAGTAGAGGGCAGATGTTCTGTGCACATCCTCTTGTGCCAGAGTCAAGGGAAACCTTGTTCCCTCCCCACCAAGAACAGATATAGAAGTGGGGTTGACCAAGTACCACATGGTGGCCAGGCATGCACAAGAGAGAGAGAAAGTTACTGCACACCCAGAACAAGAGGGAAGTCTTCTCTGATAAGAAGAAACTGAGAAAGAGAAAGCAATCCATTTCTCAGCCTCTCTGTCAAAGTAGTAGACGAAAGCTTTGGTTATGTTAGCCTGGATGAAAGGCACAGAAGCAGATCATTCCCCAACATCATGCAGGAAAGAAGGCAGTGGGAAGGCATATTTAAAGTGTAGGAAGAAAAGAGCTGTCAGTCAAGAATACTATGCAGCAAAGCTGTCATTCATTGAGAGTGAAATTAAGACATTCTCAGATAAACAAAAGTTGAAGGAATCTGTTAACACCAGACCAGCCCTACAACAAATGCTAAAGGGAGTCCTTCAGAAGGAAAAGTAGTAAGGACACCAAACAGTAACTTGAAGTTCTACATACAAGGAGGCAAAAAAAAAAAAAGTTTAACTAAAGGTAATGTTGATGACTATAAAGGCCAGATTTAAGGCATTTTTGGTTCACAAATTCAGCTGTTAGGTCCTTCATGCTGAACAAAGACAAAAGCATTAAAAAATAATAATTATAAAATATTACAGTTACAGGGTATCTGAGATATAAAGACTTTTTTACAAGGGTGTAAGCTCATTTAATGAGGAAAAATGAATCTTTTAAATAAAAGGTACTGGGGAAATTGGATTTCCACGTGCAAAAAATGAAACAGGATCTATGTTTTATAACATGAATATTGTTGTTAGCTGCTGTTGAGTCATTTCCGACTCATAGCAACCCCATTCACAGCAGAAAGAAACAATGCCCGATCCCGCGCCAGCTCCATGATCCCTGCCATGCTTGAGCCCATCATCACAGCCACCATGTCAATCCATCTTATTGAAGGCCTTCCCCTCTTTCGTCAACCCTCCACCCTACCAAGCATGACATCCTTTCTCCAGGCAATGGTCCCTTCTGACAACACAACCAAAGTAGGTGAGATGATGTCTGGCCATGCTCGCTTCCAAGGAGCATTTCAGGTGCACTTTCCAGGACAGATCTGTTAGTTCTTTTAGCAGTCCATGGTATTTTCAGCATTCTTTGCAAGCACCACAACTCAAAAGCATCAACTCTTCTTTGGGCTTCCTTATTCAATGTCCAGCTCTCACATGCATGTGAGGTGATTGGAAATATCATGGCTTGTGTCAGGCGCCCCTTAGTCCTCAAGGAGATATCCTTGCTCCGCAGCACTTGAAACAGTTCCTTCACAGTTGACCTTCCCAATGCTACACATTGTCTAATGTCCTGAGTGCTGCTTCCATTGGCATCGATTGTAGAATCAAGCAATGTGAATTCTTTGACAACCTCAATCTTCTCTCCATTTATTCTGATGCTGCTCATTGGTCCAGTTGTGAGGATTTTTGTTTTCTTTATATTGAGACATAATCCATACTGCAGACTGTATTCTTCAACCTTCATCAGTAA